CCAGCTTCATCTTGCAATAAGGGAAATAGCCAAATAATGCAAGTTATTTTAAACATTGTATCTTTACTTAATCGAATCTTGCTAGTTACAGATCTTATGTTTACAGTAACATCCTTTACTTTAAATGATGGTTTAGCATTAGAAGGATTAGTGACATGTTTTATTAACCCAGCTACTACTGGTTGTTTATTTTAGTTACAGGGTGGTATAATTGTTATAGTCTATTTAATATAAATGATAGTACCGCAATAGTTAATGTTTTATCCAAAGACATATAGGAACTTTACTTCACTTACTATTAACCATTATTTATAATGATAGACATGTTCAGACTGCAAAAAGCTATGGCTAATGACATAGAAAGGGGTTTGAGTCAGTAACACAGCCCATACAGAGGAGAGCAAACCCGCTGATGCTTAATGCCCCTGCCATGGCAGTGTCTACAGGGAACAAGGGGGGCCACTAGTCACTGTAACTTTACCTATTGAAGGTCACCCTACTACTTTCCTGGTTTCCTGGTTAACACAGGTGCATCCCGCAGTGTTCCTAGAGAACAAGACCTGCCTGACTCATCGTTCCTGCCTGACACCGATGTCTCTTGTGTTGGTGCTGATGTCCTATCCTGCCTCCAAGCATCCATCACCCTCACTGCAGACGGCCAGGTTCAATTGAATACACCTTTGTCACGAAAAGACACTACAGTTCTTTGTTCCCTTCCCATTTTACTGTGGAGATGATCTACCCACAACAGAACAATGCTCAATTAATCTTCTTTACTATGTAGCAGAACAAGGATGTGAAGCTTCACGTCTCAAGCTGCAATTCTGCCAACCTACTGTTATCTTCCTTGGCCATTGTCTGTCTCAGGGAACCAGACATCTCACTCGTGACCGAGTTAGAGCAGTACTGGACATTCCACCTCCAAGGACCTCAAAGTCACTACACGCCTTCCTAGGCCTCATTTCCTATTGCCGAGCATGGATCCCAGAAGCCTCACTCCTTATGCAACCTCTCTATGATGCTCTCAAGTCAGACCCATTTTGCTTGTCCACAGAAGCCCTTGACAACTTCTGTACTCTTAAACATGCTATTGCTTCTGCTCCTGCTCTTGGCCTACCAGACTATACCAAACCCTTCAAATTGTTTGTTTCTGAAAGACAAGGCCATGCAACAGGAGTACTCACTCAGGCTCATGGTCCTGGAGGCCGCCAAAGGCCTATTGGATTTTTCTCCTGCCAACTGGATATTGTGGCCAGAGGACGTCCCTCTTGCCTTCGGGCCGTCTTTGCTGCCAGAGAGCTCATTGAAAGAACTGGAGATCTTGTCCTTGGCCACCCCCTGGTTGTCTTGGCCCCTCATGACATTTCTGCCATAGTCAACCAGGTCCAACTTAAGCATGTTACTCCTGCCAGGCATCTTCGCCTTCAATGTCATCTTTTGTTGCCTGACAACATTACCCTCCAAAGATGTCAAGTTCTCAATCCGTCCACTCTTCTGCCACTCCCTGAGGGGGGTGTATACTACGGATTCATCATGGACGAACTGTATACTACGGATTCATCATGGACGAAACTTATGTTTTTCTTCTCACTGGCACCATCAAGAAGGAAATGCATCCCAACCTATCCTTTCATGATGGACAAGCACTCCTTCATGACGGAGCAGGATATGCCTTCTGTACCATGTGGTACAAATCAAACATCACTCCTGAACCCTGCTATGAAGATGAACTCTATCATCTGGTCGAAGTAAAACTCACTGCACAAGACTTCTACTGTGATTCTGAAGGCAACAGTATGGTCTTGATTCATCTACCTCCGGAACTCAAGCATTTGTACCGTCATTGGGACACTGCCATTCCACATGTCCCTGTGACCAAGTTGAAAACAATATCATGGAATGATCTTGGGCCTATGGCAAAAGCATGGGCCACTATGGACGAATCACAGCTACAGGAAAATGGTGTTGTCAAATATCCAACAACTGACCACCTAAAAGCATGGCCACGTCATTTCCTGGAAAATGAGTTCCAAGATTTAACCATAGTGAATGACTACGACCTAGATACACCTCATGACTGTTTTGAACAGATGAAAATGGAAACAACACATCTACCAACTGTGCATGAAGACCCATTGGTAGATCCCGATCTCACCCTGTTTGTGGACGGCTCAAGATATGCTGATGAAGAAGGAAGATACCATACAGGATATGCCGTAACCACAACAGATGAAATTGTCAAATCATCATCTTTACCATCAACTATGTCTGCACAAGAAGCTGAATTGCAAGCCCTGACCTCAGCATGCAAGATCTCTGAAGGAAAGCGTGCCAATATCTACACGGATTCAAGATATGCACTGGGCGTGGCTCACGACTTCGGATTAATTTGGAAAACAAGAGGATTTCTTACTACCGCCGGTACACCAATCAAGCACGGTTCCGCAATCAAGGAGCTGATGGACGCCCTCCTACTCCCAGAAGAAGTGGCCATTCTGAAGGTAAAGGCACATGGGAAGTTGGACTCAGATGAAGCAAAGGGCAACCATCTAGCTGATCAGGCTGCAAAACAAGCTGCAAGAAAACCACAGGAAGTGGGAAGAAGAGTGTCCGGAAATGAAGAAACTCCCATATTTACTCTGCAGACTCTTCCAACTGACCTGAAAATCCTGCGGGAACAACAGGCTACAGTTGCCCCTGAAGAAATACAGAAGTGGAAACAGAAAGGGGCAGTTCTGAAGGATGGAGTGTACTCCAACAACCTCAATTTCTGCCTCCCTAAGAATTTGTACCCAGCAGTCGTACAATGGGCACACGGACCTGCACATTTATCAAAGGATCTAATGAATGCTCTTGTACAAAATACTACCTCACTGTCCCCATATGAGATTCTATTTGGGACTGCACCTAGGCTAGGTTGCTATTTTCCCCAGCAATTACAACTTCATACTGATGTTTTAGTAAACTATGTAACTGAACTCGCAAATGCTTTGAACAAAATCCATGCCCAAGTTTTCTCTTCAATTCCAGATCCTGATTCTGACACAGGCAACCACAGTCTGCTCCCCGGTGACTGGGTTCTGGTCAAGAAATTTGTGCGAAAACACACCCTGGAACCAAGATTTGACGGACCGTTCCAAGTTCTCCTGATCTCCCCTACCTCTGTCAAATTGGCCGGAAGGCCTAACTGGATCCACGCTTCCCATTGCAAGAAGACACCTGCCCCAGAGGAAGCTAATTCTATGCAACCATGTGCCTCTGGTACATTATCTCCTTAGTTGGCCTCCTTAAAGCCCAGCAGGTGGCCATCACCAAAGATGCTAGTGGGTACACTTTCTGGTATAATTCATCATGTACCCATGTGGCTACATTCACTTTTGATTACTGTGATATTGTAGAATGCCCATTCCCTAAGTCACAGATTCAAGCCATTTATAAAGATATCCCACAAGCAAAAGACCCTTACGTTTGTGTAGTAGATGAACAATGGGGTTATGACTGTAACTACTGGGGGGCTGCGGGATGGAATACTGGGCCTGCCTGGGGTTATAAACCCAAAAGTGCTTTATCTAAGATAGACAATCAGGGTAGATCCCTCCTTCAAAGAATGACTTTAAGAAAGCCTGGAGGAAGTACCCCTATGAAATTAATGTTAAATATTGAACATCCTGGCCCCGAGGATGCAGACCGATATGTAATGGGAATGTATTGGAAGAAAGGTTCCTACAACAAATTAGGTCATTTCTACCTCAGAGATATGTACCACTCTCCAGAGTGGCAAGGGGCTGATCATATGGTCCCAAATCCGCTAAAACCACATATCCAGTCCTTTAAAGATATGATGGCTATCGCTAACCCCACTTTGAAGATACCATGGCCGCTGAAACTGGATTCAATGACATTAATTTGTGGTTAGAATGGATGAGGTATAATGCTAACAAACATAATAAAACAGCATGTTATGTATGTGGCGGTGCCCGACCCCACCTTGGCACCGTCCCCCTAACTCTCCCTTTAGAGATAGAAGATTGCTTCTTAAGCCTTTTTGCCTACCAATATGACTTTAATAGGTCCCTCTGCATGGCATGGACGGCAGAATACCCTCTCTTAGTTGAAAATGTTAAGCCACCAGATGGAATCACAGTCTATAGAGGTAATTACACTTGTTATGCCATGTATGACGGGATTGGTAAATTCATGGGTAATTTTTCTAAAGGTTATTGCGCCACTTACAGAACTGTTCCTATACGCCTGTTGCAACACCATACCAGGTCATTGGGGGATATTTACTGGTTATGTGGGGATCTACAGTTAAGATCTAGGCTGGAAACTGAGTGGTGGGGTGAGTGTACCCTGGCCAAAGTTATCATGCCCATTCATATTATTTCTGATAATCATCATGACACATACGACCCTCCACATACATCAGCCAGAGTAAGGCGCGAAACCCCAGTAAAAGGCAGTTTTGACCCCCACATTTACATAGATGCCATTGGGGTGCCTAGGGGGGTACCTAATGAATTTAAAGCTAGAGATGAAGTAGCTGCAGGTTTTGAATCACTTTTTACCATAGTCACTGCCAACAAAAACCTTAATTGGATTAATTATATCTATTACAACCAACAGCGCTTCGTGAACTACACCAGGGATGCCCTCCAGGGCTTGGCCGAGCAATTACAGGCCACAACCCAAATGACCTTCCAGAACAGACTGGCCTTAGACATGATCTTAGCCGAAAAAGGGGGAGTTTGTAAAATACTTCCCGACACTATGACTTGTTGCACTTACATTCCAGAAAACACAGGTCCTAATGGTAAAGTCACTCTGGCCATAGCTAAATTAAATAGACTCTCAGAAGAGTTAAAGAGAAACTCTGGAGTTACTGATCCCTGGGAAAAATGGTTTGGTTGGATGACTGGTTGGCAGAGAGCTTTAGTCCAGATTGGTATTGCCTTACTAATTTTTCTTTTTATTCTCGCTCTTCTCATTTGTTGTGTCCTCCCATGCCTAAGGAAATTCCTGCAGAAAACTGTAAACCAAGCAACACCAACCTTCACTCATCTGACAATCGATGATCAAGACCTCATCTCACCCTGTATTCCACTACAAACTCTCCCGTATACTGATGAAGTGCAGAAAGTCTAGGAAGGGACAGTACAGGGACAGCATCCGTCTTTATGGGTAGACTGCCGTACGGAGAAGTAGTGGATAAGCCACTATGGGTTACCAGCGGAGTGAAGAGTGTTCCTGAACCGTACTGACGGATGTGCTGCAGCCTGTTGGGGTCAAGAGAGGGATAGACTTGCACTTTGCATTAACACTAAGTCAGCGGTCATGGGGTTTCTGTGTCTTTGGGCTAACACATCTTCTGATACTAACAAATAAAGTTTTGTCTTTTAGCAAATAACATTTTAGGGGGGACTGTTGTAGAATTATTAGGCCTCTATAAATCTGTAAGACCCCTTTAAATCCTCTTGCTATACCTCTAAGAGGCCCCCATAGTTTTACAAGGAGGCTTTGTCTATAGAACATAGAATTTGCATGTCAGCAAGAAATAGCTTTGATAAAATGTGTATTTACTAAAATCCTTGAAACTTAACCTTGAGAAACTAACAAGTGCCAGCTACGCTCCAAATGGATAGTTGCCAAAAGGCCCCTCCCGTCGAGTGAGCTCCTCATTTTAACAAAATGGCGCTAAAACCTGTAGGAGTTAAGAAATTACGTAGATAGTGACCTAAGAATGGGGAGGGCATTTTACTAACATCTTAGCACCTAAGCCAATTAACAATGTCTATTTGTCTATATCTTGATTTTCTTCAATGATGTAATAATGCCTTTAAAAGGGTCTGCGCACCCATTTTCTGGCAGAAGCCATTAAACTTCTCTGAAGTTCTTTCATTACCCTGAACCTTGTGTCTCAGTGTGAATTTACTTCTGCGTGCACGCAACTTTATTATCTTTAATTTGGACAGGAACAGATAGTCATTCAAACTAATTGGTTTGCAGTAAATTATATACGACATATGCGTAAGATATATACTTTGAAGATCTTGGTAAAATATAATCTTACTTCACTTTTCAGTCCACTCCATTAACCACTTCAGTTGTTATGCACATTCAAATAAAAAGTAGTCCACATCTAGAGTGCCAATGACTGCCTACTCAAGAGCTACCCCACTGGACCAAGTTAAAAGGAACACTCCTCTGCCCAAATGCAGAAGTAGTAAATTTGCCATTTAGTAGATATGCACTAAATGAAAACTGCATGGATAGAACAGCTCGCAAGAGATCTCGTTTTTTCAAGCTCTTACCTTCCAATCCAGTCAGACTTCATAATGCAGCTCAATGAGAAGTCTTTACAAACCAAGCCTCCATGGCAATTCCCTGCTTCTTGAGTTTAGCTTCACAAAGAACAGAAACAGCTGTCTCATTGACCAGGTTTATTTGTAATAGTGAAATCTGCACTGTTTTAAAAAAAATAAAATAAACTGAAGTGCATTAGGGCGTGGCAGGTCCCAGCACTATGAAGGTCTGGGCTTGCAATTTCAAAAAAAAAAAAAAAGTACTAAAAGAGGAATGGAAAAACATTCTTTCAGACTCTCTTAAAGACTTCAAAGAGGCAACTCTTTGTTGATTCCAGAAAAACCCAATTGCTACACATTTGAGGTAGGGGACAATGCTTAAAATAAATAATTCAAGGAAATTAGACCGTTCAGAAAGTAGCAGATTGTAAGGCAGCATTTTTTTTTTTTATCCCAAGACCGAAGAAGAGTTCCTGTAGAAAGCCACACTAGTCACCCACTACTTTCATCGAAAATTCTACCATCCAGGAAGAGAATATTTAAGATCAGCTCAATGGCTATCTACCCACCTTTAACATCTAGAGCAGGGATAGGCAACCTTCGGCACTTCAGCTGTAGTGGGCTACATCCCCCATAATGCTCTTACACACATAAATGCTGGCAAGATATCATGGGAGGTGTAATCCAAAACATCTGCAGTGCCAAAGGTTGCCTATGCCTGCTCTAGATGATACAAACCTAGTAACAAGTTTTTGCTGGTTCAGACTGTAGAAATAAAAGATTTGTCTTTATCCAGTATGGGTCTCCAGTGTCAGATTATTGGTTCTGTTAATCTTGCAATATGGATGCAAAATAGAATGCTAAGAGTTCCTCTGAAATTGCATCTTCAGGCTTTCAAGAGTGATATTTCCCTTAATTATCAACATGCAAGAATGTTTATCTCGGATTTTTAGATATAAAACAATTAGCAGTCAGGCAATCAGAATATGTATGAAACGTTATTGTGCCAGAAGAATGAAGCTGTACAGGTGTTTCATTACACAAAGAATTTTCTCACTGCTGCTCAATCCTACCAAATGTTGAAAAACAAAACTTCGTAGCCAAGGTCCTATATTGACCTGGTTGGATAACATGTCAACCTACCTCACATTCCTAGTAGGGCTGCTTCATATTCAATGAAGGTTACTAA